GAACTGCATCTGCCCCCCTCGGCCCTGCAGGGGCTCCTTGGGGATTTCCCGTACTGAAGGGGGGTGAGTTTGGGGAAAATGACGTAAGACTGTTGGGATGGATAAAGGGCACCTAAGGCATGTGTTTACCATCCAAACTGTGGCTCCAGGCAAGGCTTCCAGTGAAACAGGTGCTGGGGCAGATGCTCCCAGCCTTCCCCCGTCTCCCCACCCCCCAAGCGAGCAGGGTTTCAGGTAAGGGGACCCCTGTCTGATGCTTTAGAGCAGACGGGAACTGCCCAGCAGTCACTGGCTCAGAGTCCCATGCACAGCTCCTGCTCTGTAGGTCTGTTTGCCCGTGTGCCCCCTTCTCCCTGAGAACCCCGGGCCCCTTTGCACACCTGTACAGGGGGCGGGAGTTGAACCAGATCTTGCTGCTCACATGGCCCCCGCCCAGCGCAGCAGCCCCACCTGAGCCTGAGAGGAATGCAGACCCACCCGCTGAGTCAGAATCTGCATTTCAGCAAGCCCTCCGGAGACTGAGACGGGTGGACACGTGAGGTTCAAGAGGCGCTGGCTGTAATCTCTCCTCTTCCTACCGGCTCCCACATTCTCGTAGTTTGAGATTATATTGCAAATCATTTATTCCTTAGGAATTAGCCATGCAATTTCTGGAGGGGAGAGCAGGCTTTCAGCTTTGCCACCTGCTAGCCTTGTGCCTTGGGCAAGTTATACCCTGTGCCTCAGTTTCCCCAGCCATGAGCTAGGGATATTAACAACACCTACCTAGGAAAGAGTAAATTGGTCAGTACATGAAAAGGGCAGGTGCCTGGCAGAGGCCAGCTAGTGTTTGCTTATTGTTACTGTGAGAACAGATGAGAGACTGTGGCTTCAGAAAGGTCGGCTGACTGCCTCAAGGCTGCTGTGTTGGGGTGCCCAGAATCAAGTCGTCAGCAGGGCTGGGTCCTCCGGGCCTCTGCTCAGCATGTAGGTGGCCGTCTCATCCTGCGTCCTCACACGGTCCTCCTCTGGGCATGTCTGTGCCCTGATCCCCTCTTCTTTTAGGGACACCAGACCTATTGGGTCAGGGCCACCCAGATGACCTGGTTTTACCTTAATCACCTCTTTAAAAGGCCTGCTTCCAGGTACAGTCATGTTCTGAGGTCCTGGGAGTTAAGACTTCAACATGTGAACCTCAGAGGAACACAATGAGCCCATAACAGCCTCATAACCCTCAGGTGGTGTAAAAGAGTGACTCAAACTACGTCTGAGAGAATTCCCAAAGCCGCCCACCTCTCAGCGGGCAGCAAAGCGGCCTCCACGCACACACGTGTGCCGAGGCGTGTCCTGTTCCATGGGCCTGCAGTGCAGTGTCTCCCCAAACGCCGCTGATGAGCAGGGAGGGACATCTGGACAGTGGGGCCATCTCTCTCCTTCCTTTTGGACTCTGGTTCCCTGTGTCCTTACCCCTTGACGCTCTGAGTGGGGGCAGGAGTCACAAACGGTTCCTTCCGTACCTCCCACAGGACCTCATCCAGACCAGAGAGACAAGCTGATGTTTTCAGAGCCAGCTCATCTCAGTCGATCCTCACAATGGTCTCCTGGTTATGGATAATATTACTGTTCCCAGTTTGAAAATGAGAAGCTGAGGCACAGAGAGGTTGAACGACCAGTCTGAGGTCACACAGCTGGTGAGAGGCCGAGTTAGAACTCAGACCCAGTTCTTAGATGCTGCCTCCCGGGCCTTTATGACCCATGTTGCCATGTGTCCGTGGCACCTGCCAGCAGCCCTTGGAACGTGAGCACCGGCCCCAGTCAAGTGCAGAGCTGTGAGCGCCCTTTCTGATATAATCTAATGAGACTTGGTCCTCACACAGCCTTGGAATTTAGGATGCATGATTTCAAGGTTGCAGATAAGCGTGGCCCAGGTGGCCGGGCAGTTTTCCCGAGGGAAGCTGCGGGGCTTGGATCGCAGAGCCCGAGTTCTTGGTGCCCGAGCTGTCTGCTGGCGGCCGAGCTCAGCCTCATGTAGGTTTGCACAGAGCGAGGGGGCTGTCCCTGGGCTGTTTCCTCCCCCAAGTGCCCTGCAGGTCCCCTCTCACCTCTTGCTTCAGGGTTTAAACTGACCCTCTCCCCGGCTCCCTGTTCCTTTGCTCCTGGTCCTACCTGAAGTCCTGGCTTCCACAGCCTCTGCAGGCAACAGGGCTGCCCTCTGGGGAGGTCTGAGCATGGGCTCGGATAACACTGCTCCCCTCCTTCTGCAGGTGACAAGCCCTGGGCCCAGGGCAGCTGTGCCCTGTCTGCCTGAAGAAGGAGCCAGGCAGCTGGTGTGACAGCAGCGAGAAGTGGCATAGACGACAGCAGGCGACGCCTCCTGTTCCTGCGTTTGCTGCTGCCCTACCTCGTTCATGAGGCCTGGCAAGCGCGGACGGACAGAGCAGCAGCTGGCCTGGGGGGCTTCTGAGCTCCTGGAGGGCCACAGCTTGTTTGGGGAAGACCTGCGGGGTGTCCTGCCCAGCCGGCCCTCCAGAAAGCACGAGCACAGTCCTCTTGCACACGTGAGGGCTCTGCTGGCGGAGTGACTGCACCCTTTGAGAAACCAGCCAGCTCAGGGCCACTGGGACTCAAGGGCGCTGGCCAGCATGTCCCCGGACCCCCAGCCGTGTTACCCAGCATGCGTTTCTCAGGCCTTCTTTCCAGCCAGAGAAGCCGAGTCCAGCTCCTGTTGCAGGAATGCTCTTCATGGCTAAGTAAACTGTCCTCCCTGGTGGAGAATCCCCGAGTGAAATTTGGGAAGCTTTCAACAGAACATTTCTCGGGGATTCTGTGCTCTGGGGCTGGAAGCCACTCTTGGACAACACAGTACACAGACTGCCCCGGGATGCGGTGCCCACCTGCCTGGGCCGCAGGCTCCTTCTGCCCCAAGTGGCTCGGACGGAGCTGCTCTGGGATTTGCCGAAGTCCCTACAGTGTTAGAAAAGAGAGGTTTTGAACAGTCCCCTCCCAGTGGAATCGTTTTTACATTCACTCAGAAGACGATTGTGTTCGGCTATGAAATGACCTGTGGTAACATCGGCAGGAGTCGGGGCTACGTAGTCCCTGCCAGCCGACCTCTGCTCTGCGCGTGGGGGTCCGAGGCCCTTCCTGAGGGATGGCCGCCGGCAGCCGGGGCAGGAGGGGCACCTACACCCAGACGGCCTCCCACACCCTGTCCCCCCTACCTTGGTGCCCGTGACGGTCCTTTACTAAGCTTGCGGCCCAAGGTCCAGCTCCCGTCAGAGATCTTGGGCTTCTTGGCAGCAGTTGGCAAACCATTGCTGGTTTTCCTAAACTGATGGGCACTTGCAAGCAGGGCTCCGGCTCACCCTGAGGACCTCCTGTCCATCCTCCCCTTTATCACAAAGAGCATGAGAGCAGACGCGCGTCGGCTGGGGACCCTGGGAAAGGCTGCACCCCAGATGCCACCGTGCACGACTCCGGCAGTCGGCCGAGGCAGATAGAATGGGCCCTGTTGTTCTCTGCAGGTCAGGCCTGGGCCGGGCAGGGTGCCCGCCGAGAGCACACCAGGGCCATTGATTCTGAGTCCCATTTCTGGCCCCCCCCCCCAGAGCACCTGTGTTGGGGACCAGGCCAAAGGGCCCATGTGCTCCGCTTCAGACCCTCAGGCTTGCCCCAGCTCACCAAGCTGCACAAAGTGCATGGCCTGGAGCTGAGAGGTCAGGGGTGACCAGGTTTGTCCCTGAGCTAGCTCAAGGGAGGAGGCCATGCTGGGTGAATAGATTTGGGCCCTTTTCTCAGCATGGAAGGATCTGGACACAACCACCGTCCTGCTCAGGGGAGGAGCTGGCCTCTCCCCAGTCCCTCTTAAATCAATCTGTGCCACACGGGGTTTGCAGACTAAGACGTTTCTCCAAGTGCATGCTTTTCTGAAAGGGGAATCTGGCATCTTTTTTTCAAAAAAGTCCCCATCTTGGGGTTTTATGTAGACAGATTCTCATATTCACCTTCTGTATGAGTTAAGGAAAAAAACCAAGTGGCTTTAGCAAAATTAGAAGTGCAAGAAAACTGAAATTTAATTCTCTTTCCTGAAAATAAATCCACAGTCTAGGGCTGTGCAGCTCCCTGAGGGGTGGAGCACAGCTCCTTTTTACTCTGTTTACTCTGCCACTGTTAGTGAGTGGCTCCCACTACACGGCCAAAGGTAGCTGCCGAAGATCCAGCCATCGCATCCATCTCCCAGCCAGCAGGAAGGAAGAGGGAAGGAAAGCCTTCCTGCCATTCCTGAAGGACATTTCCTGGAATTCACACGATCCCCTGCTGCTGTGTGGGCCAGAACTTAATTCCAAGGCCACGGTTGACATCAGAGAGACGGGAGAAGGTAGCCTTTGTTTTAGGTGACCCTGCAGCCAGATGAAAACCTGGGGCTCTTTAACTGAGCAAGGAGGGGAAATGGACATTGGGGGACAGTTAGCTCTCTCTGTCCCTCCTTCCTCTTGGACTGGTAACATGAAGAGGGATTGTAACACAGGCATCGTTTTAGGGTCTCCATATTGTCAACGAGACTTGTTTTAGAAGGATAGACTGATAAAGGTGCAGTGAGGATTAGAAATCAGCCAGTCCACGTCCTCATTTTTCATGTCAGGAAACTGAGGCCCAGAGAGGTTAACAAGTCAGCTGAGATCACACAGCAAACCGGTGACATCTAATTCCCAGCTCATGTTCAGTGGGAGTATTTTTGTTTTTCTCCATTTCTTAAGAAAAAAGCTTCATTCTAGAAGGGAGGGGATGGGAACCGCCGAGGATGAAATTCTACCCGCCAGGGCAGGACACAGCCGGACAATGACAGGGTCTGCGTGCCTTGATCTGCCCATCCTGAGTCTTGCCAGCTGAGGCTCTGCCCTGGCTGGAGCATGCCCTGCTGGCACTGCCTGTGTGCTTGCGTGGTCCTGTCCGGTCCATTTCTGCCCTGCATGCTGAGGGCAGCCCTCCAGGGTTCAGGTCTGACTCGGCTTCTGTTTCAGGGAACGCCCTGCAGGATGGGAGCCGCTGGCAGGCAGGACGTCTTCACGGCGATGCTGACTGTCATCTGGCTCAGCCTGGCCTGCTTCCCTGGGGCCACATCCACAGGTGAGCCACCCCGGGGCAGCGGGATCTCCACCTCTCAGCGGGAAGGCACGGTCCCTCTCAAAGAAGCCTGCTTGCCGGGCAGGAGAAGGGGCCCAGGGGCAGGGGCAGGACACTGGCCTTACTGTCCCTGGTGACTCACTGACCCTGGGCTTCATTCTCATCACCCATAAAGCCAAGGGGTTAGGCTGGACTTGGGTTAAAATCCGGGGTCTACCGGAGCCAGGCATGTGATACATAAACCCGTGAAGATGGCCAGGTAAGGACCATGGCCACCTGGGGAGTCCAGGCACTTCTTAGGGGACATTGCATCTCAGTCCTGGCCAACTGCTGCTGTATGTGAAGGTGGGGCCCATTGCAGGACCTTGTGTATTTTTAAGAAAAAACAGAAAATCTAGACGTTTATGTAAAAACCCCATACTTGTTAAATGTTGGCAACCGGTTCAAATTTTACAAACCACAGTGGGGGCGGGTGGGCTAGAAAGGCAGGGTTTAGATCTACTTTTCTGATCTCGGTATCAGCTTTTCCTTGGAGTGAATGTGAATAAATGCCCAGGTGCCCTGGGCAGGTTTGTGAGGACTGCAGAGAACAGCAATCAAATAAACCAAACTCAGGAGAGGAGACGTGGGGGCCGATTTAAAAACTCTGAGCCGAGGTTCAGTAACGAGACAAAGCAGCGTGGCACCTGCTCCTCAGGGGACTTCCCACTTTAACGTAAGGACGGGGCTGCCAGAGGGCGGCCAGGATGGGCTGCCGGGAGGCGCTCAGCAGCCAGCCCGCGATTCCCTCCTTTTGAGACACTTTGATTAAAGATAGAGCCGGACGCTGTTCTACAGTATGAATAAAGGAGCTTACATGGCATTACGCTTTTCTCAGTCCTGATGAAAGGAGGCAGTTGCTCATCATAACTAGGGAAATCCCTGCAGGGTGACTCCTTGTAGAATCTTCCTGGTCCTTGGGGACGTTACGAGCAATCAGTAGTTTAGCTCTTGATGCAGCAGTTGACAGTGTGGCCTGAAGTAGTTCATTTATCCGTCCATCATTTGTCCTGTTGATATACACCAAGGGGCAGCGACTGTGCCAGGAACTGGGTCTGGGTGTCTCTGGTAGGGCGGCCTACCTCAGAGCCTTGAGGTCCAGCCAGATACACCCCTGGGTGCTTTCTTCTGCGGGGTGTCAACCATTTGGGAAGGAGGCTCTGGCCCCTCTGGTCTGTGCTGTTCTCAGGCGTCGGGGGCACGGGCGCTCATGCCCCCCGTAGGCCGGCCTTCACTCTCCACCCTGCTTCTGCTCCCGCGCCCTCCGGGAAGGGCAGTTGCCGTGGTGACATTTCAGCAAAGACACTGACCATTTCCAGCAACTTGCCGGTTCCTACAAATGAGAACCCACCGAAACCAGCCTTTGCTAAGAGCAAAATGTCCAGCTCTCACGAGGGCACGTCCATCTGAGGCCGCCTGTGTCTGCGGGGTGTGGGCCGTGGGGTCAGAGCCGCCGGAGCTCTGGGGCTGGTGCTCCTGACGCCAGCAGAGCCTGCAGGGCCGGGCTGGCTGCCTCCAGACCCGGACGCAGAGTGTGATGTGAATGCGCACACGCTGGGAGAGTGACAGGCCGTCGGGGACTGTCCCAGAAGGTGTGGGTGGTCACACCCTTAAGGCTTTGCCCCAGGGACCCGAGTGACTCCTCAGCGTGCTCATAGCAAGCCTGTTGGCCGCATGTGTTCCCTGCATGGCTGGGGAGTCACCTCCTTGGACATGGACACCCCGGGCTCCGGGGAGGGCAGCCCAGGGCCTCTGACGGGCTCCACTGAAAGCCCATCAAGCACTTGACTCGTCAGGGATGCACGCTGACCCTACAGGCCTCCCAGCCAGTGGGGCCCCAGAGCCTCAGTCTCAGGACCACCGCTGGCTGCTGAGTGCCTACCTGCAGCCCTGTTCTTATGCTGAAATGTATTGTCACGACTTGAGCCCCTTGGGGTTTACATCAGCCCAAAGAGCCGCTTCAGTAAAACTCCAGAAGAGGTGAAATTCTCTTCTTCATGAAAGAGCTTAGGAGTTAGGGCTGTGGGTGAGCAAAAAGGAGGGGTGCTGTCAGGCTGGGGAGGGGAGGATGGGGAATGAGGCCCAGCAAACGTGCATGTGCTTTGCAGAAAAGAGAAGGGCCAGCCGCTGCCTCAGACCACAAGGAGGAGGACACCCTCCGGGCAGGTGGGGCGCATCTGTGCTGCTGAAGGGGCAGCCCCCTTCCAGTTTGCTCAAGGTGCATAAAGACATGTATGGGACAGACAGTTACCCCAGAGGTGACGGGATAGAAATAAAGTGACACTCAGGACTGATCCGCTGGTACTAAGCCGAAGCCGGGGCCCCTCCAGGGGTCCTGACCCCATCCTGGGGACCTTGCTGTTTGCACCCACTTTGCTCGAGCGACATAACCTCCCTCAGGTGCCCTTCCTGGGGCCTGAGCTGCGGTGCCTTCCATTCCTTCAGGACCCAGCCCCAGATCGTCGCCATCTGAACCCTTGCCCGGCCGTAGGCTCCTCTGTGCCTCGCCTGCCTGCCTCTCCAGCCCTGCCCCAGGCCAATTTAAAATCTGCTGTTTCATATTTCACAACTTCCTAGTGGCACTGGGCAAGCCATCCCCACTGTGTGCCCGTGGCCTCTCCCACCTCCTTCGCTCTGGGCTCTCCCTGGCTCTCCGGGGAGATGCCCAGTGCTGAGGCAGCCCTCCCCTCCCACCATCCGTGGCATGGTGCCGGATGGGAGCCTGGGCAGCCACCTGAAGAGGGGACCCCTCCCAATGCTCCCTCTGGGGCCAGGAAAGGGGGCACCATGCCTGGTGGAGCTCTTGAGGTCAACTAGATAGATGGTCAGGTGCACGAGGCTACCCTGGGCCTCCCCTGGCATCAGACTCACTTTGAGGACCTGGGACAGAGACCCAGCGGATCAGGGGGTTCTCTTTCAGGGGGCAGTCCTGGCAGCTTCCCACATCGCCTTCCTCAGCCATGCTCTGTCTGCCCTGGTGAGGCTCCGGTGACTGTCCCTGGAAGGGGTGGGGGCTGCGCTGGCTAGGCTCCCCCTGCCCCGGCAGAGCCAGTATCACTCAGAGCAGGTCCATAGCGTGATGCTAAGCGTCCCTGGAAGGGATGTGCCGTGACGAGTCACTGCCTTCAGGGAGGCCCACCGTGTGACAGACACCAGGGACAAGTGTACGTTACGTATGGTCAGCAGCTTAGACATTCGCTGATCAGGGGCCACTTTCGTGATGAGCAGTGGTGCTTGGTAACTAGTTTATGTAAGGCCATCTTTCTCAGGTTTCCAGGCAACAGAGCTGAAAAGTTGACTGAAAGTCAGGTCCTCACACAGATGGAGAAAGAGCTTTCTTAACGCTTCAAATACTGCTTTCCAGGGCAAAGAATGTCTTGGAAGACAAGTGCTCTGGGTAAATCATTGCCTGACTTTAGGTCTTGGAGTGTCTTGCAGAGTCACCTGGTCTGCCCTTCATTTTATAACTAGAAACCCTGAGCCCAGAAGAGGGAAATGACTTGGTCACAGGCACGTGATTAATGAAAGACAAAGGACTGTATGGGGGGATCTCTTTGCTCTCTAAGGCCTTGTTTTCCAGTCTAGTAGAGAGGAGGCAGGAGCCGTGAAGGACATGAGAGCCCTGCCCTGTGGTCCGTGACGGTGCTCGGTGGGCTCGGTGGGCAGCAGCAGTGACGTCTCTCTGTCCTCCGCAGTGGCAGCCAAGTGCCCGGACCAGAGCCCTGAGCTGCAGCCCTGGAACCCCGGCCACGACAGGGACCACTCTGTGCACATTGGCCAGGGCAGAGCCCTGCTGCTTATGTCCTCCGCCACGGTCCACTCCGTCCACATCTCAGAGGGAGGTGAGCCCATCTCTGCCCAGACCTCTCCCCCCTCCGCGGCCTCAGAGCGTAGCAGGTGGGATGCCGGCTGCCTTACCCTCAGATGGGCAGAACAAAGGCCCTGTGCTCTGGGCTCATGCTGGAGCAGCTGGTTGAGATGACCGTCATCTCCGGGCGCTTAGGAATGGCTTGTTGAGGTCCAGACTCGGCGAGGGAAGCAGGTGTAGGGGAGCTCTGTACCGGGGCTCCGAGCAGCCGTGTCTGTCTCGATCACTCACACACTGCAAGGCAGAAAGCAGAGAAAAGCCGCCGCTTGTAAGAGCTGTGAGCAGGGACGTCTCTGACAGGCGCGTGCCGTCTTGCCTGCCTAGAGGAGGTGGGGGCTCACCAGGTCGGCTCTTGGCTCTGCTGTGACCTCACCACCAACACCCGTGCTCTTAAACCTCACCCCAATCCTATCTCTTCAGGAAAGCTAGTCATCCGAGACTACGATGAGGCGATTGTGTTGCGTGCCCGGCATATCCTGATCGACAACGGAGGAGAGCTGCATGCTGGGAGTGCCCTCTGCCCTTTCCAGGGCAACTTCAGCATCATTTTGTATGGGAGGTGGGTCGGCAGCTTCCTTGGGTCAAATGCTGCTCTTGGGTTTGGGGAGGAGGCTTCCCAAAGGAGAGAGGGTGGCAAGAGGGCGAGGGGTCCGTGCAGCCGCGAGTTCTCACTTCCGCAAGATGGTATCACGAGCGAGACGCCACTGGTGATCTGGGCGAGCTGGAGAGGTGCACAAGGCAATTCATTCATGTGGACCATGTCTGCCCTTGAGTCACAAGGCCCTGCCAGCCTTCTCGTGTCATGGCTCAGGGAGCCTCTCAGTGTTTATAAATAGGCTGTGAAGGACAAGATAAAGAAAAATGCCATGTGGTATTTCTCTTGGCTGTGTTCCCGCTCCAAGCAATGGGGAGCTCTCAGGGGTGGCAGCCGAGACTACCCGAGGCGTGCAGGTTATGTCCAGGCGACGTCACACCTGATAGGGGCCAAAATACACAACATGCAGACCTGGAAAGAAGTGCCAACATTCAAACGAATGACAAGTATTCATGCTGGGGCTCCTGGCCTCCCAGTGGTACAGGTCCAGGGGAGCTGGGTGCTGTCCCGTGTCTGCTGACTGGCTCTTCGGGACCACAGTGGGAGCCAAGGAGCAGCGCAGCCCCCCTGGGCTGGGCATTCACGTGTCAGCGGGCTCTGGAGAGCATGTTCTCTGTCTCCTAGGGCTGATGAAGGGATTCAGCCGGACCCTTACTTTGGCCTGAAGTACATCGGAGTCGGCGAAGGTGGCACCCTTGAGTTGCATGGAAAGAAAAAGCTCTCTTGGACATTTCTCAACAAGACCCTTCGCCCGGGTGGCATGGAGGAAGGAGGCTATTTTTTTGAAAGGAGCTGGGGTCATCGTGGGGTCATTGTTCATGTCATCGACCCCAAATCAGGGACAGTCATCCATTCTGACCGGTAAGGTTTGCCTTCCCACGAGCAGGTGCCCCTCAATCAGCCTGTGGAAAAGAAATGTGGTGGTGCCTGTGGCCAGGCAGATGCATCTGGGTCATCAAGCTGGTGCCTGCCCCAGCCCCTCACGCTCCACTGCCCGGCCGGATGCCACCCCAGGTCCTGGGGACACAGAGCTAATGGGACGGATGGAAGCCCTTGGCGTTTACCTGACAAAGCTACACCTAACACAGAGTGTGCATGCACACGTACACGCGTATACGCACACAGTTTTGGGTTGCCGCCATGGGAGGCCAGGGAAGTGGTGGAGCTTAACCAGGGGCAGCAGGGTGGGCAGGGTAGCCGGGGTGCAGAAGTGGTGCTGGGCTGAGCACGGCAGGGATGAGTCAGGAAGAGGGGTCAAGACAGCATCAAAGAGCAGGCTGGGTGTGAGGCAGGGTGGGGCCGGCGTTCTCCAAGCAGGGAAAGGCCAGCCAGGGGGCAGGGGTGCAGAAGTGGTGGAGGGGAGCCCGGAGCCAGCAGAGTGAGGTGGGCAGGGCAGGGCAGGGCTGGCCGAGGGCCAAGGGAAGGAGGCCGCTTTCTCCTAAGTGGGACGCAAGGCCACTGAAGGCTCCACGAAGGGTCCCAGCTGATTGGCAAGAGTGCCCTGGAGATAGCGTGGGGGTCACAGTGGACACGGCCGGGAGCTTCTGCCGTGCTCTCGGCAAGGGAGGCGGTGGCGAGGACGGAGCAGAGGTGGTGGCCCTGCAAGTGGCTGATGAGGAGAGGGGGCAGGGGTGGATTCAGGAACAGGGGCCCATCTCCCGCTGCCTCCCTGTCACCCCCCAGCCGGGCTCTGGTGTGAGTCGGCAGATTCTGCCCAGGCAGGCCTGCCCTGCAAGCCCCTGGGGGCTCCTGTTCTGGCCCCCCGAGGGCTGTCCCAGGCCCTGGCAGGGAAAGATCCTCCAGGAAGGACACAGCCGGGGGAGGTGCAGGGCAGAGCTCCCTGGCCATGTGGGAGGAGGGAGGCCTGGGGCCCTCGAGAGCAGGGCGTGTGCCCCAAGTGTCCACAGGAGGGAGCAGAGACCACGGTGACTTAGGGCCAGGTGGACAGGAGCACGCAGACAGCGTGTCCTCGGGGGAACATTAGCAACAATAATGCAACCCCTGGATTTTGTGTAAAACGCTGTGTTAACCGCTTTACCGGCCACTTGTAATTTAATCTTCAAAATGCCCTGAGAAGTGGGATCTGTTATTTTCCACACTGTATAGATGGAAACGCTGAGGTCCAGTGGGGCTCAGAGTGTCAGGCTGGTAAGTGGTGGAGCTGCGCAGACCCTTACCCGCTCTGCCGCCTCCCGGGCGTCCTGGTGACAGCTGCCGGCCTGGCGCGGGGCTGAGTGAGGCTGACCCTTTCCGCTGCGCCTTCAGCTGCTGCTTGAAGCAAACCAACCGTGGGTGGATCCCTATTGCGCTGGGCGGCGAGGACGCTGGGGGAGCTGACGGGAGACGGGGGCCTGCTAGCGTCTGATCTCTGCGTGAATATGTCAGTGGCTTCGAGAAACTGATAGCTGAATGAGCGTGAGGAAAAATACTAACAAACACACACATGGGTGCAGGCTGTAGTCACCTGAGCAGGTCACCTGGAGGAGAAGGAGCTTGAAAGCTATAAGCCTTGAGCAGGTAGAGATAAGTGAGGGCAAATTAAGAGAGACCGAGGGGTCTTGAGGCACTGGAGACAAGCTGGCCTCGCAGCAATGATCCCGGGAGGCAGGGGGACGTGAGGGGCTGGGGCAGGCACCAGCTTGATGACCCAGATGCATCTGCCTGGCCACAGGCACCACCACATTTCTTTTCCAAAATCTTGGCTCTTCGTGTTGGCTGATTTCTCTAGATCCATGTCTAGAACATATTGCTGGTTAAGTCCCAAGACAAATTCATCTGGAATTTGCATTGTGATTGTACAAAACCTTCCTCGTTACGTGGTGGGTATTGGATCGCTACGGAGTGGTGTCTTTCCTTTGTGAATTCTTGCCACCAGGGAAATAGATTTTGTTTGAAATGTACGTTTCATGGGCATTTCATGTGTATCAGAGTGGGTTATCTCGTCGATCTGAGATGATCGCTGGTTGCTGTAATAAAAGCTGCTTTCTTTAAAAATCACAGCCCCCTGGGATCTCTGGGTGACATGTCGGTGGCTGTCACAGAGACGTGGGCGTAGATCTCTTCCCTGGGCTGCGGTCAGGACTGTTAAAATCCCCTCTCTGACCTCTTTAGGTTTGACACCTACAAAGCCAAGAGAGAGAGTGAACGCCTGGCCCAGTATTTGAACGCGGTGCCCAACGGCAGGATCCTTTCTGTCGCAGTGAATGATGAGGGATCTCGAAACCTAGACGACACGGCCAGGAAGGCCATGACCAGGCTGGGCAGCAAACGCTTCCTGCACCTCGGGTTCAGGTACAGGCCCAGCCCGCCACCTCCTGCAGGCCCCTCCAGGTTTACCTCTTTCCCTTCCTCGCAGCCACACCTCCTCCGGTGACTTAGGGGGACGCAGGCACATCATCTGCATTTAAAGGGAGCCTGGCTTCTCTGACTGGCCTCACCCACCCTTAAACACAAAAAGCCTGTGTTTATATGGACTCGTCTGTTTAGTCGGCTGCTTAGAAAATACTAATTGAACATCTACTGTGTGTAACAGCTGGGCCTCAGAGGTACAGCTGATGTTCGTTTTCTCTCTCTTTGGCAAAGGGGTCACAGTGAGCCGAAGGGATGGGAGCATGTTTGTTCAGAGATCATATAAAGCGCCTGCGCAGCCCAGTGCCCCAGGGGCCCTCGGATGGGCTCCAGCGTGTGTTCTGTTTGCCCCGGGCTGTAGCATCATGCCTGGCCTTGGTGTGCCCGCACGTTGGCACCAGGAGGGAGCTGTTTGCCCCCCGGTAGCCACACCTTTTTATCATGTTCAGTCAGATCCGGCTCAGTGGAAAGTTGAGCTGACTGTGTCTGTGCTGTTTGGAGGCAGGGGCACCCTTTCAGCTCTGCAGGTCGAGGGCAAGACCGGGCTCAGGCCAGAGCATTTTCTGGGCTCCGGGCAGAGCAGTTCTACCGGCTGTGCAGAGGTCCCCAGTCCCGCCCCAGTGCTCATTCTCCAGCAGCCCCGGCACTGCTCCTGGAAGGGTTTGGGCAGGAAACCAGGGCAGCCAGAATGACAACACCTCCGTAGCTCAGGGCTCCTTTGTTAGCATAGACTGGAGGCCCTTCCAGTTCATTGTTTTAGAAGCCAAAGGCCAGTCTGTTAATTTACAGGGAGAGAGAGAATCACAGGGCACAAGGGCCTCCTCGGCAGAAGAAGGTAATGGCCGAGGGCCCGGGCCTGGCATCCGCTCTGGCCAGGATTCGAGTTGGGCTGTGCCTCCTCTGAGGGGTGACCCCAGAGATGACTCATCCTCTCTCTGCCCAGTTCCTGCATCTGTAAAAAGGGGTTCAGCTGGAGCTGTTTCAAAGGACCTGCGAGGACTATGTGGTCATGAGCCAGATATTTGCCATCGTGTCTGGTACAGAATAAGAAAACAATAAATGTTAGCGACTATCCTCTCCTTACAGACAAGGGCTGCAGGAAGGGTGGGCGTGTGCCGCGTGTCACGCCGTTTCGGCGGGGCAGGACAGGGCATACATTGCTGCCCCCCAATTCACGGAGACACACCTCAAGGGGCAGACTGACAGCCTCTAAAGCCAGCAGGACCGAGGCCGTCACTTGCTCTTTGGATGAGGAAGTGGTTCTGAGCCGATGCTTTCCTCGGTCTCACCTCCAGGGCTGCTGGCGGAAGAGAAGTGGCCTTGCTCTCGGGAACCATTGCCTGGTTTTCCCGCGGGCCTGACAGGGCCTGGAGCGCGGTCGTGGGCCTGTGGGCTTGTGTGTCTGTTTGGAGTCACACCTCGTGGCCTGTGTGGGGTCAAGGAGGCTCACAGTGAGCAAACGCCAGCGAGCCAGGGGGTGGGAAGCTCCGTGCTGGCAAGGGAAGGCCCTGGTTCAGGGAGGGAGCCCGCCAGGAAGCCGGCTCCACCAGCAGCGGGAAGGGCTGCAGGCCTGGGGCACCCCACCCCCCCCCCACCTCCAGGACAGGCGCAGACCCGGAGGAGCTTGCTTTTCATTGTGGTTCTTTTCAGACACCCCTGGAGTTTCCTGACTGTGAAGGGAAATCCCTCTTCTTCCGTGGAAGACCACATTGAATATCACGGTAATGAATGGGTGGCAGGACCCTGCGTCCCCCCGCCCCTCGCTCCTGGCCCCCCCCATCTCTGTCACTACGAGGCTCAGGGTCTCTCTGAACCACCCACTTCCCTTGATGGGCCGTCACCAGGAGGCGGCAGCCTCCCCTGCCCAGAGAAGATGGCGGGGGTGCTGCTGGGTCCGGTCCTACAGAGGCACGCATGGGGGAAATGATGGGCTCCCAAACAGACTGTGGGGACACTGAGTGTGATCAAACCTCTGAAGAAGGCACAACCTATAATCTTCATCCCAAGTGGAAAGAGTTCCCTGAAACTTTTCTTTAAGGCTTAGCTCCAGATCCGTGTGTGTGTAGGGCACTCCCCATGCCTTAGCGTCACATCCTTCTGAACTGGGGGGTCTGGCCGCTTGCTGACGTCTCTGGTCTGCCCGACAGGACATCGCGGCTCTGCCGCTGCCCGCGTGTTCAAACTGTTCCAGACGGAGCACGGCGAGCATTTCAACGTCTCCTCCTCCAGCGAGTGGGTTCAAGGTGAGGCAACCTGCAGGCGAAACCTACAGTGGATACAGGCCAGGACTTACCCTTCGCCCAACAAGGATTTTCCTTCTGCACACAAAGGACTTCTTGACTATTGCAGTCAAATGAATTTGCAGTGGAAAGTTGTCTTAGTTCATCAGCCCCAGTGTAAACAGCCCAGAGGGGCCCTTTCCCCCTGGGATACCTTTCCTGGACCAGGGATGGTACTGAACAGGAAATAGACAGGGACTGCCTGGCCTTCGAGAAGCTTGCCCCCGGGGCAGGGGTGCAGATGAAGGCCATCTTCCCTCCAGTGTTTGGAGAACGGGCTTAAGGGTGGAATTCATGTCTCTCCTCTTTGCAATAATGAAGAATATTTGTTGCTCATAGAGTACAAATGGCAGCAGGAGTTGTTTTTAATTGAGAGGTGGGAGAGGTGGGAGAGGTGGGAGACTGCCTCCAGGCCCTGGGGCCCAGTCCTGCGGAAGCCTGGACAGACGTGGCTGAGGGCTCCGGGTGCTTCCCCGATCAGGACTGGCCCTCGTGGGCCCTTCCTGCCTGACCCTGACTCTGTTTTCCGCCTAGATGTGGAGTGGACAGAATGGTTCCAGCAGGACAGAGCGTCACAGAGTAAAGGTGGGGAGAAAATTTCAGACCTCCGGGAAGCTAACCCAGGAAAAATCTGCAATCGCCCCATTGATATACAGGTACCGAACCCCAAACCACTCAACAGCTGTAATGCCTTATATTGAAGCAGCATCTATAGATCACAAACGCCCCTGCCATCTGTGTGGTGTGAGTGCCACGGCCCACCTGTGATGCAGGAAGGCCAGAAAGTGCCACTCCCAGGTCAGAGGCTCCTTGTCTGCTCCGGGCTCCCAGCTAGTGGGTTCTGAAGCCGGGACTCACATTTCCTCCTGGATTCTACCTCTGAGCTCTTTTCTCCTTCTCTCTAACCTGCTTCCACAGCCAAAGCTGGGAAGCCCTGGTGCCGGACGGGGTCTGACCTCAGGGCCGTTTCTCAGTTAATATCCTCTGGGCCCTTGAGTGCGTGGATCCCAGTGGGACTAGGGCGTAGGCCAAGCCCAGGCCAGGTGGGGGACCCAGCCACGGCCTGTTCTGCATGGAGATGTGTTAAAATCCAGCACTGTAGAATGGACAGGGCTTGCTCAGCATCTTCCCTGGGAGTTACTCTCTGCAAAGGGGACCTCAGATTTCTCAGGTGGCCCCAGCATGGAAGTTATTGAGTAAATACGCAGCCCTCACGATTCACCAGCATTGCTGGGCTCCACAGACAGCAGGAAAGACAGACACACAGGCCAGGGCAGTGGAGTTTATTTCCTTAAGGCTGGTCTTGCTCCAAAACAAGATTCAAGGCCACTCAAATGCTTGATATTGAATTGGATGTCATTTAAGAAAGACCATCCCTGCCCATTTCATCTTCTTTTAGCCAATAAGAAAAGTGATTGACGCTTGTACACTTCTCCCAGATCATCTAGCCGCGGTCCCCGGCTGTCTGAGCTTTCACCCCACAATGGACCCCCACCCCAGGGTGAACTTCTACCCCCCGCCTCATGTTGTACAGGGACTGTGGACATGGGGGGCTCTGCTCTGCTCCCCACAGAGGCCGGGGAGACCTTTCTTGCTGTTGGGCTGTGCCTCTCTGTCCACGTGGCTCCCGTGTCACTGAGGAGGATTAGGCAGATTAACTCTTCTCGGATCCAGCAGGACCGAAACACGCTGACTCCCCCAAAGCACACACTTCCCAGGTTTAATTGTCATTTTCTTTTGCAACCTGGGGCTTTACAGCTTTAATCCTGAAATAGACAGAGTCCTGGTCCTCCGGGTCACTTGGCCGCAGGAGGCCCAGGCCTTGCCCAGCCTCCCCTCCCCACGTATTTCTGGAAATCCTGGAGGAATGCTGCCATGCCCTGCAAACCCCGCCTGGTGTTTGTTCTGCCGGCCGGCCGGCTGCAAACCACTGTTGTTTAGGAGACCACTGCTCATGCCAGGGAAATGGCTTTCCTAAGCATTTCCCACTTCTCCAGCCAGCTGGCTGCACGCGCACAGGCTCTCCCCTGAGTGTGTCAAAGCCCAGCTGATCCCAGGTGCAAACATTCAGTAGAACTTTACTGCAGACTTGCAGATAGCGAAGGAGACTGGTGAGAAACCTCTGTATAAAATGGATAGAATAGTACATGACTGCTGTCCGAGTCCACAGGCTGGGACCCTCTGGGGGACCCACCCCCATCCCTGACCAGGAATTCCCTGTGTTCACGTTTCCAGCTCTTCGCGGTCCTGAGAGGAGTACAGGACCTGTCCACAGGCCTCCCACCCTCATCCTGGGGATCGGGCAGCCTTCCCACAAAACTGCATTCTTTGACAAATTCTTGCTGAGCACTGTAGCCCCTTATTAGTTCAAAACTCTCAATTCCAGAATAGGATCTTGGCTTTCTCTTGGCAAAACAAAGACCTGTTGAACAGCCACCTAAAATACGTGCCCCCCAAAGTGAACCCTAAGGTGAGGCATGTGTCTCCAAAAATGAATTCAAACCTCAGTCTCCAGCGTGTCAGACGTACCAGCCGGGAGCCAAAGGCCCTGCTTGCTTAGCAACACACAGGAGAGGCCGGAGAGCTGGTCCTCCTGTGCATCCATTTTTGCCCCTTTGGGGAATCACAGTTACCATGGCCACTTAGCACCTCCGACCACCCCCCGGGCCCCAGAGGCTCCCTCCAGGGCTGGCGTCCCACACGAGGTAGTCCCGAGACACCCGCTCTGCCCTGACATTCCCATCCTCTGGAGGGAGAGGGGATGTCAAGGACGTCTGCAACCGAGGCAAGACTGGAGGAGGCTGGAAGGGAGGAGGAAACAGCGAGACTGGCCCGGCAGGACCTCAAGGAAGCCTTTTCGGCACCTGCTGCTTTGTGGCTCTGCAGAAACAGAACACAGCCGCACCCCGCGGTCTCCACGCCTCTGCCCTCCTTGCTGTCCTCCTTGGCCCCGATCCCCCTGAGCTCCCATCTTCTCTCTGAAAACTGGCCCACATTCGGGGCCGCTGGGACCTACGGACTCAGATTTCAGATCTGGGGATAGACCGCAGTGGGCGGTCTTTGCACAATGGGGAGTTTGTCCTCAGTGTTAGGAAAATGTACGTGGCAGCCAGAGGGTCTGTGTTTGCATCCCACTTGTGAGCTGTGGTCTATCCACAGGGCCCATCAGGGCCACGCCAGGCAGGGGCCCCAGAAGCAGAGTCCCCCTCAGGTGCCGCCTCTGGACTCACGCCCCCCTGATGGGGATGATGCGAGCAGCTTCAAGGCCGGGTAGAGAACTCAGGGGGCCGCCTGGCGTTTTGCATCCTGGCAGCTTCCCCCCATTCCTGATCACGGGTGATCAGCCAGGTTACTTAGTGTCTGATTTCCTCATATGCAGAAACAGGATAGTGATTTTTCCCTCACGAGATTACTCGTGGATTTACTGCAGTGACACATGACCTGGAGTGAGTGTCCATACATTTTTATTTTTTTTACAGTTCTTGTCCAGAACTAAGGTCACTCTTCAGGTTAGACAAGGGGGAGGGGGAGAAAAAGCAGCAGAATCGAGCATATGCTCCCTCGTTGTACCTTAGTGTCCGGTTCTATCGGGCCATGTCTTTGGGCTCAGCTCTCAAGGTCGTCCACTCTCCCGCTGCATGTTTTGGCCCCAAGGGCAAGCACCAGGGGTCAGAGGGGCTGAGCCTGACAGTCAGCAGCCTTGACCTGGAGTTTGTTCAGAAACCCTCTGAACCTCGGGCCTTTCTCCTAAGAGCCAGTCCTCAGCTCCAGCTTCTCTGGCTGCATCCGAGACCGTCCGAGGTAATGGGTGTGACTGTGTTGCCTACAGGGCAGGGCTGGACCTCAGTTGTGGTTAAACTCGAGTCTGCACAGCTCTCTTTCCAAGCCGAAGATGAGGGGTATCTACTGGGCTCAGAATGATGTTTCCTAAAAAGTTCCCCACCCGCCCTTCTTTTTAGGTTGGCTATACTTTGCCTCCCCACTTCTCCCGGCTGGTCCCTTTGGTGTCTGTGCCAAAGAGGCCAACAGCTGCAGCGCGTGCCCTGAATTGCACGTCTCTGATGACAGCCCCAGTCTGGGCGAGGCACACCCCGGCTCCGGGACGAGCCGCAGCTGGCAGGGTCCCACGCTTCTCCGAGCCCGCTCCCTGCATTCTCTACCCGGCCTTGGAGCTTACTTGCGTCGTCCCCCATCAGATGTGCCACGCGCCGGGTGGGGTGCTGGGTTCAGGGGCTGGGGGTGGGGAGCAGGCCAAAGGCCAGTCCTTGCCCTCAGCACAGTGCATGGCCCAGTGGGAGGAGGGCCCTGCGTGCAGCCACCAAGTGAGGACGCGAGTGCCCGAGGGCGCAGCGGGAGGCTGGGGCGCACCCGCTGCCCAGCTGGACAGCCTAGATTCACATTTCGGTTCTACCACGTTATGGCTCTGTGACCCAGGCACGTTACTAGACCTCTCTGAGCCTACTTTCCTTATCTGTAAAAACAGCGATGAGCATGGCATTGCCGGGAAGACAGAGTAAGGCAATATATGTAAGCACTTAGCTCTGAAGCTGCGAGAGAGGTTCTCAAACCTTACTGCCCGCTAGAATCACCTGGCAGCCTCGCAGCGCCCTGGCGCCCAGGCCACACCCAGACCCAGTGGGACCTAAGCCTGCACATGAGTGTTTGTATAGGCTCCCCACGGGGTGCGGGTATTCGGGCATGGTGGGTTGAACGTAGTGGGTCCTCACGGAAGGCCGGCCACGTTCACGGCGCTGGGGTGTGGGACAAGAAGCCAGCCAGCCCCTAAGAGATGGGACATTTCCACAAGGCCCCCCACGAGGAGCGGGAGGGCCCTGGCCAGGAGGTTGGGTACCGTAGGGCCCCGGGCACGGCATTTGGCTGCCCTGCGGCTTCGTGCTGCTCTTCCTGAGCGGCACCGATGGGGGCAGTTGCTGGAATGCTCATCCCGGCCCCTGTAAATTGCTTTTGCGGCGGCGACAACTTTAGACCTGTGAGTGTATGTTTATAACATTAATCATCACCTTCTTTCTTTACCAAAAAAAAGACTTTCCTCTGTAATTTCCCTGCCGTGCACAGGCCACTACAGCAGATGGAGTCAACCTCACCACTGAAGTCGTCTACAAAAGAGGCCAGGATTATAGATTTGTGTGCTACGACCAGGGCCAGGCCTGCCGGAGCTACCGTGTGCGGTTCCTCTGCGGGAGGCCGGGTAAGCTGCTCCATGCTGGGGACCCAAATGCAGCCCTGGCTCTGTTCCTCGAGCTGGCCGCTACGCACCGCGAGTTTGGGTGACTGGGTCAGCGGCCTCCAGGCATCTCAGGGACACGGCGCACCTGCCAAGCTCGCAGTGGAGAGCTCGCCTGTGACCCGGGAGCTGCGGGCGGTCCTCGGACTTGGCCGAGGCCAGGAGAGCCCCGCCTGGCCCGTGTGCCTTCCAGGAAGGGGACGGGCCCTGGTCAAGGAAACCCGGGTGCAGTGGGCAGGCCCGACCTGCCTGCAGCCTGCCCTGCAGAGACCTGTGGTTGTTGCGTCTTTGGGGGCTATTACTTTAAACCCAGGCCCCGAGGCGCCCTTTACAAGGGGGTGGAGATTTTGCTTTTTTGGCAGAGGCCCTTGCCATCTCCAGAGGGCAGTCCCGAGGGGTGAGAACTCCTGGGGGAAGGGCTTATGGCCACTGCGAATAGTAGTTGAGAGGAGCTATATTGGTGTTAAGTCTTGAGCGAAGCGGGTGTGGTGCGGCAGCCACAGTTAACTACAGGGGGGAGTGAGTGGAAAATTCCCCTGCCTGGAGCTCATGAATGGCTCTTTTCTGGGAGGTTTTTGTTGACTTCAAAAGCCTGGACCAGGACTGGGACGGCTGAGCCCGGTGATCTGGGTTCTGGGTAGGCAAACCCATTCCTCATTTAGGGAGGGGAAGGGAGGGCTGGGCAGTCAGAGGCTCTTCGGAAGCAAAGTGCTGCATCTCCGTCCCTCTTCCTCCACGTCACAGTGAGGCCCAGACTCACCGTCACCATCGACACCAACGTGAACAGCACCATCTTGACTGTGGAGGATGATGCACGGTCTTGGAAGCCTGGGGACACTCTGGTGGTCGCCAGCACCGACTACTCCATGTACCAGGCAGAGGAGTTCCAGGTGCTGCCCTGCAAAGCCTGCTCCAGCAACCAGGTCAAGGTGGCAGGTAGGACCTCCACTGACACCCCCCGAGGCTGATGAGTCTGAAACTCATTAGGATTAGCGCAGGCTGAAGTCACCACAAATCGACAGCAGTCAGCTGTTGCCACACGATGCTGCGTAACAAAGCGCCCTTGCAGTCCGTGCGGGCATTAGCCCCTTCTTCGTGCACCTGCAGTTGTCTAGCTAAGGTTCAGCTTCTCTAGACGAGCTTGGCGTCAGGCAGGGAGGGAGCTGGATTCGGGTCAGCTCTGGTCACTCTCACTTGTCCCAGGATGTGTTCTTTTCGTGGAGGGAGGTTGGAAAGTCCTGGAGAGGAGAGCAGGGGCACAGGGGTCCCTGCAGGCCTGGGCTCAGGACCAGCGCACCCTTGCATCCACAGTCCAGCAGGAAAAACAGATCCCACGGTCGAGCTCACACAAAGGGGTGGTGAAGCCTATTTTTCCCATCAAGATGACAGAGAGGGGAGTGAATATTGTTAGGAAATAAAGTCTTAAGCTTATTAAGGAATTCATTGAGAGGCTCTTCAGTTCAAAAGCTGATACAGAAGCTGAACAACTGGGCTGCAAAAGGACAAGGAAGAGGTTGCTTTGGAGGTCAGGGGAGCAGGGGAGACAGGATGCGCCGTTCACACGGGAGCTGAGGGCCCTGGGTCCTCGCTGGGTGGGACAGCGCCTGCGGGCAGCCGTCGGGATGTCAGGCCTCCTGGGCTCCTGGCAGGTGTGCCATTCAGGCCGTCCGAGCTGATGATGTCACTCTCATCGTGAGGTGGCCCTTGGTTCTGGGGCAGCGCCTGTGCTTCCGGGGGTGAGAGCATGCCCTGAAGCCCCGGCCTGTGTGGAGGGGTCGAGGAGCTCCCTGGGGCTCTGTCCAGACCAGCTGCAGGCCCAGGGCTGCACAGGGGGGTGACAGGGGGACAGGAGGGGCCCACATGATGTGGGGCATGATCGTTGCCCCTGAGCACGGGGTCTGGGTGGGAGTGCTGGTGAGCCTCCCCTCCTGGCAGGGGCGTCCAGAGGGTGTGGCTGCTACTGGGCTCCAAGGCCACACAGCGAGGTGGGGCTGCTCTGGCCTGAGTGCCGAGGGAGGGGGGTAAGCAGGGGGACGCCGATGCCCTCCAGGACCCTCCTGCCCCTCGTTTGGCACTGCCTGTGTGTCCCCTCCCCTTGCCCACCCCGCCTTCTGTCTGTGAGGCCCTGGGGACTGTGCCTGCACGGAAGCTTCAGGGCTTACGGGAGACAGGGCCCGCATGTGGGTGGCACCAGAAAAGCTCCGGGTAGGGGTGTGTGGTGTGTGTGTGTGTGAGGCCCACTGCCCCGCTCAGCCCAGCCCAGCCCAGCTCCGTTGACGTGGAGCAAGGCTTCCACCTGCTTCATTCTTTCCCAAGACTGTGCCCCCCACACCCCAGTAACCTCTCTGGGGTTTTCTCCCCAGGCCACTGCAGAGAGGGCCACAGCCGTCTGGAGCCTGCGCCCTCCCTGCCCCCAAATTCCAGTAAACAGGCCTTTCTGCAACTTAAGTGTCTTCTGACGGGAAACAGATGCGGGTAACAAAGTAATGAAAATGTGTGAATCATCTAAAAAAATATTTCAAAGTTTTGCCAGCCACAGTGAGATTCTCAACACCTCCTGACATGACAACTGGAAGTCCTCAATTTTCTGCCCTATTTCCATTCCCACCTTCCTGCATGGCTTGATGCAGCCCCGCCCCACTTTTCAATAACACTATGTTGATCAGTATTCACGTTTCCCAGTTCCCTGTGATGTACCCCATTCTTTATGATCACTAGCTTCTGTTTTCCCTGTGACACAGATGAGGAAATAAGGGTTCATGGAAATTAAATGTCTAGACTCGCGTTTTCCAGTACAGGAGCCACCAGCCACGTGTGGCTACACATAATTAAAATTAAATAAAATTAAGAATGTCATTCCCCATCATGCCAGCCAGACGCCCAGTGCTCAGTGTGTGGCTAGCGGCTGCCGTGTTGGACGGCACAAAACAAGCATTGCCTTTGACTCCAGGGGCTCTGCAGGGGAGGCTGGTGCAGACCCAGGAAGTCGGCCTGCTTGATCAGAGCAGGCTTCGAATTCAGAGCTCTGGCTGCCAGGCCACTCACCCCTCCTCCACGAAGACCCCTGTTCCCAGCATCTCTGCCCAAAGATGCCCGGACTGTAGGCAGATCCGGGGGCTCATGATGTAAACTTGCCTCTCTGGGACCCCCAGCCTGAGTCCCTCTGGGCTTGTCCCCTCCCCGCCCCTAGACGCTGGGGGCTGCAAGTTTGAGCCCCAAGAACTCGAGCCTGTGTCTCCCGGGGCAGGTCCGTGGTGTCTATTCTTCTCTTGACCTGCGAGAGCCTGGTCCTGTGCGTGTGCTGTGGGGGCGTCTCTGGGGTGTGCATTGGGGGGCAGCAGGAGGGCAAGCGCCAGGAAGGAAGGCCCACTGTGTGGGGAGACTGTGCACGGCCCCTGCCTCTGGTCATTTCCCAGGATGAACCTGGCTTGGCCAGGAAGGGAGGGAGGATTCCGCCCGCAGGCAGGATGGGAGCCGGGAAGTCAGGGCACACTACTTCCCAGGGTGGGGGGCTGGGGGTGGCCTGTGAATGACAGACTGGCCTTCCGGTGTTAAAGGCCCGGACGGGGGCTCCACAGCAGGGGGCGGGGGCAGCGTGTTGAGGAACCGCAGGGCTCTCAGTCTGAGTTAGCTGCTCCCGCCCAGGGGTCTGGTAGACACGGTCCCCCCATCTGCCTGGAAGTCACTGGCCCATTTCCCCCAGGCCCTGGGTTCCAGCCCTGCCCTGCGGAGAAAGCCTGGGACAGTGGCCGGACTCCTGCCCCGCAGGCCTCAGCCCACTGAATAATCAGAGCTGCCCTCCGGGCTTTGCGCTGTCATGATCTCCATTTCACAGACGAAGAGCTGAGGGTCAGGGACTTACAGCCACGGCCTGAGTCGGGATCCAGTGCAGACAGCCTGGCCCCAGGGCCACAGTCCTGCCCATCCACTATCCTGTCGCTCCAGTCGTGAGCGAGTTGGGTGCCCCAGGAGGGCCCTCTGGCCGCCCACTGGAGGAGAAGCCTCTGGTCAGCATCCTGTCTGGACACCACATTTTAGGGGGTGCTGACAAACTGGGAGAAGCCCCTGAGCCCTGAAATGCATGTGCTGGGGGAGGGCTTGGAGTCTGGGGACATGTGCCTGGAGACGGGCAGCCCTGGGTTCTGGTCCCGTGCGTGCTGCAGGATCTCGGAGAAGCAACAGCTGGGGCCCAGGGTGGTGCGGAGGGCTTGGCTGAGAAGGAGCTCTGGGAGCAGGACTGGGGAGGACAAAGCCAGTTGCTGCAGGGACAGGGTGGGGAAGGCCGTCCGGGCCGGAGGGAGCAGCTTAGGCAGATGCTCTGAGACGCTGCAGCAGAAGGGGACGTGTGACAGTGAGGTGGGGCAAGCCCAGAGAGTCCGGGGGTTCACTCTGTGCATCCTCAGAGCTGCACGGAAGCTCCCTTCCACGTCCCTGCCTGGCAGGACTGCGCTGGCCACACTCCATGCTCAGCCCCTGGGGTCAGCAGGCTGTGTCTGTGCCTCTCAGGACGGGGCCCGCAGGCGCCCCGCTTGGGCTAGCTCACTCATGGCACTGCTGAGTGCCTCCCCGGCGCTAGCAGGTGGTTCTTCCTTCCGCACCCAAGGACAGGCCAAGGCACCTCGCTTGGCTGAGGCGGCCTGAGGGAGCTTCCTGGGAGCAGCCTCTGAAGCACCCATGAGGTTGTACCACAAAGAGGTGTGGATCGGGCATGGCCAGAGGCATGGGGCCCAGCAGACCAGGAGCCTGTGGGTCCTGGGGGACAGATGCCCGGCTCTGTGACAAGGAGGGTCTGACTTTAGTGACCTGTTTGCCGCAAGTCTGTGTAATGGGGGTGGTTCAGGAGGCGAGGCTGAGCAGGGGGCAGACGGCGCTGAAAATGTTTCTTGTCCACATTGATTCCCGAGATCTTCTACTGACAAGGGGCAGTCAAGGAAGGACAAGCAAGGTCTGGGCCACCGAGAAGGCCGGGACAGAATTCTGCCTGCGGGAGATTTGCCGGCTCTGGAGAGAGGGATGGAAAGAGGTGCCTGAAAGGGGAGGAAGGACAGTTGGGGAGGACGAGCCGGCAGCCCTGCTGGGGACACCCAGATCTGCGTCTCTGCCATCAGGGACCACGAGCACCCATCTCAGTGGAACACTCGCTGGACGTGGGGTGTTCAAAGCTGGCATGCGCACGGTCTCTTTATCAGCAGCCAGACATGCATGGGCTGCAGCTTGCTGCCTGGCTCCCCAGCCGGGGCCCCAGGGCAAAGCTCGGCCTCATAACTGGTGTCCTTGTGAAGGTCACAGAGCTGATGGGCCATCCGGCAGGGATGGAAGGAGGGGCGTCCACATGGATGGCCAGAGGGGACCCTGCTTCTGGACCTTGACCCTGTGGAGACGTGTGTGGCCTACACCGGAAGCCCCAGTGAGATGCCCTGGAGGGGGGGGCCACCGGCCCAGCTGACTTGGTCCGTGCCCGGGCGTCTGAGCCCACTGAATCCCAAGTGCTGACGGCCGCCACCCTTGGCATGCACCCCTGAGCCCTTTGGTGTCAGGGATCTTGAGGTGATAGTAAATTACAGTAAATAAACCCATTGTGAAGTTGAGACTTTTTAAAAGGACTGTGTGGTAGGCTAAGTAAGGGCCCCAGAGATGTTCACGCACTGACCCCTGGGCCTGACCCTTGGGGCCCGGGAACGTTGCCCTCTGCCTGAAGGGGACTCTACAGACAGGCTTAGGCTACGGCCCATGAGTCAGGAGACTGTGGTGGGTTTCGGGGAGGCCCAGTAGAATCACAGCCCCTAATAGAGGGACACGGGAGGGACAGAGGAGGAGGATGTGATGAGATGACAGGAGCAGAGGTGGGCGCCTGCCCAGGGAAATGCTGGGCCCTGGAACCTCAAAGGGCCAGGAACGGGCTCTACCCCGGAGCCCAGCTGCTGGCACCTCAACTGCCTGCCCCTTCTGGCCTCTCAGACTGTAAGAAAAGAGCTTTCTGCTGCTCTAAGTTACTAAGTTTGTGGCCATTCATCACAGTGGCCCTAGGAAGCTGACCTTGACTCCCAGGGGGCTGTTCCTCAGCTCTGCCGTGCGCCAGTCTCACTTCTTGAACTATGATGCTTCAAAGAAACCTCCATCTCCCTGAGTCTGCAGAACCCCAAACAATAGCCCCCTCAGAGGCACTGTGGCCCACCCACAGGATGCGCCCGGGGAGCACTGGGGGGCTGCTGGCTCTTCCTGGGACGCGGGTGCAGGGTCAGGCCACTGTCGGAGTGCCGCTCGGGGCTCATGACCCCGGCCTCCGGGGGAGGGCACCAGCGGGTCATAGGGCTGAGCTGTGTGCCCTGTGACTCAAGCCAGGGTCACAGGGACAGCCCAGTGGTGTCTGTGCTGTGCTCAGGCCGCGCTGCACATGGGGGAAGTCTGCCTGTAACTGCGTCCTCCCCTGGGACCGAAGTCCCCACCAGCTGGGTCAGCTGTCTCAGTGAGGAGTCCAATTGGGAGGCAGGCTGATGTTGTCATTGCAGAAAGGGTCTGGGGTGCTGCGGGGACAGAGCCTGGGGCTGCGGGTCAGGGACAGTTCCATAGTCCCAAACCCCTGCCACCCGCCCCCGCACGGGTGGAGGAGGGCAGGACAAGTGGATGTGACAGGACTGGGCAGGAGGGGGCAGAGAGGGGAGAGTAGGGACCAGAAGTCCAGGGGCTCTGACTGCAGCAGGAAGGAGACTGACAGGGGCACTGGGAGGGGCGCCGAGTGGGGCAGAGGGCTTCTGGTTGTCAGTCTTTAAGGATAGGGAGGCCTAGAAAGTTTGAAATTGGAGCATAAAGAACCCAGATGAGGGAAGAGGTGAGGTTGCCAGAAGGGGCGAGCTGCTACGCTGATGGATACAAGGGCCATGGCTGGCAGAGCCACAGCGGGCAGAGCATCCTCTCCTCCAAGCCCAGGGGTCACGAGGTCAGCACCCCGCTGGAGGCAGGCTCCTTTCCGCTGTCCCACGGGCACTGCAGAGGCCCCGGAGCCAGATACAGTGCTGGACGCAGCTCCCACCTGGCTCTTTGTAGAAAGTCCAGTTGCAGATACAAACCTAGGTGAGGTTGAGGGCGGAACACAGATCTGCCCCCCTCACCAGGACACAAATAGCCATTTCTTCCCTGGGGTTCACACCTAAGTGCTCATGGCCATGAATCCAGGTCTTCACGCACATGAATTCCCCTGCGTGGGCTCCATTCTTCCATGCCCTGGGCCTGGGGGCTGCAGGGGCCACCATGCGCACAGAGCCTGGTGACACACACACACAAGGGCCAGAAGCACCTGCCGGGGCCCAGGCGGTACCTCTGACTTCCCACAACCCCCTTCTTCCCTAGGGAAACCAAGGTACCTGCACGTCGGGGAGGAGATCGACGGTGTGGACATGCGGGCCGAGGTGGGGCTCCTGAGCCGGAACATTGTGGTGATGGGGGAGACGGAGGCCGAGTGCTACCCCTACAGCCACCACGTCTGCGACTTCTTTGACTTCGACACCTTTGGGGGCCACATCAAGGTATGAGTGCCTGGCTGAGGCGCCAACCAGGCCACAGTTCCCACGACGCCAGCCCATAGGCAGGGGTCTCGGCAGGAAAGGGGCAGGAGGAGCCAGAGGTGGGACCCTGGGCAGAGGACCTCCTGGGAGTTGGAGGAGCCCCGGGGGTATCAGCGGTGAGCCGTTCCCCCCAACACGGGGGAGCGAGAGACGGTGGAGCCGACTTGGGGGATGCTCTACTGTCCAGAGGGGCGCACATCGCATGGTGCCCCCCGCCCGCAGGGTGCTCGGCCCTCGGCCTCACTCCCGTCCCCTTTCTTCAGTATTTACTCCCAATCACATCCTGAAAGGACTGGCATTCAGCTCACAGAAGGTCACGTCCACAGTGATCCAGGAGAAGACAGATGAAGTGATGAGCAGGACAGAGAGCTAGGCGTTCTCGCATCAAATTTACCCGTGTTTCCTGATGGAGAGACTGGCAAAGTCAGGAATAACAGCTGAGGGTGTCTTGCTGCTGAAGCAAGAGAAATGATGCCAGCTCATCGGCGCTCACATTTTCCCAGCGTGAAGCTCAAACATGAATTTTTTGGCATCTTGATGTAAAATGCTTTGCCCTGCATGTTGGGTGTCAGTTGGCATCCCACAGCCCTCTGTCGCTCTCCGGAGTTTGGGACCAAAGTGGATAGAATCGTCTTAGAGTTTTGTGAGGACAGTTCCCTCAAAGCCAAAACCATGTGCCTTAAGGGTGACTTTTTAGTGGCCTAGCTGAGATTAGCGGTGGACTGGAACTTACAGAGCTCCTGCTGGGGCCTTCCTGGAGTAAGACGGCGCTCGGGCCTAGGGTGCAGGATTCCCGACAGCTGTGGCCCCTGTTCGGTAGAGGCTGGCAGGGCCCCCAACCACGTTTCCAGAGATGAGGTGGGGGCAGGGGTGGGGGCACCGCCCTCAGTTGAGAAACTCGTTAGAAACTGAAGCAGAAAAGGCAGGTTTGTGTTCCACGAGATGCCGCAGCCGCACTTCCAATTCTGAGAGCAGCCCCTGAGCGGGAGCATCCCTTCCCGCTGCGTCCAAGCTAGGCCTCAGAAGCCTTCTCGACGGGGCGGCCGCCCCCAGAGCTGGGATTCCAGGGGGCACCTGTTTGAGGGGGATGATCAGCACGTCCTTCAGATCATCCTTCTCCAACGGAAGCTGGCTGAGCCCAGCTTTTGACAGGAATGGCGTTCCTGGAGCCAGACACTCAGTGTGGCAAGGGGTCCCCGGGGCGCGCCAGGGCTGGCTTCAGGTGCTCTGTTGAGCGGGCACATGGGGTGCCCCACAGGCACACACACGCTGAGACAGATGCCCCACTCAGTGTCCCCTTCCCCCAGCCTGGAGAGGCCTCCCGCGGTGACGTGGCATCGGGTCCCAGGGCCCGTGGACCACCCCCCTGCGGTCCCCAGCCTTCTAGGGCACGGATTCCACCTGCCTCCCCTCGGGCCATCTCAGGCGTATCCTTCCTCTTCTCAATGTGACGCTGGTGGCTTAGGAGGCAGGGAAGAGGGTGGAAGTGAGGCCCAGCTGCCGCCGCGCCCCTCTGCCCCTCTCGGCTCCAAGCAGTTTGTCGCCTTGTTATTAGTAGCACCTTGTCCGCCGTGGGTCAAGAAGGGCCAGGCATCTTAGCCCGTTTGCAGAGAGTGTCTTTGATTCACTGAGCACCTGAGTGGAGATTAGGGAAACATCTTGAGGAAAATCATTTTCGGGATGTGGGCACCAGTGAGGGGGTTCGGGGAGCACCGCACACACCTGCTGACCCCGGCTCTCTTCCCCCAGTTTGCGCTGGGGTTCAAGGCGGCACACCTGGAGGGCGTGGAGCTGAAGCACATGGGGCAGCAGCTGGTGGGTCAGTACCCAATCCACTTCCACCTGGCGGGAGATGTGGATGAGAAGGGAGGCTACGACCCACCCACGTACGTCAGGGGCCTGTCCATCCACCACACGTTCTCCCGCTGCATCACCGTCCACGGCTCCAACGGCTTGTTGGTAAGCAATCCCCCTGCCCGCCCCCATGCCAGTCAGCTCACTGCTGGGCCCGGGGACCTTTAGCACTGGGAGGATGTTTGGGTCTAGTCACAGTCCAGGGCCACTGGGGGGTCAAACCATCCTTAGGTGACATTTTAGAATGATATCACTTGAGAGCAAGTCACTAGCCAGGAGGAAGGAGAAGATAGGGGTGTATCCTTGCCAAAGGGCACGAGCATCAGAGATGGGCGGGTAACCAGGTCGAGGGGGTCACCGGGAGCCTAGCTCCTGCTGCCCTAGATGGGAGTCCAAGAATCCTGTGTCACTGCGGGCATGACAGATCTGCCAGCTGCAGACAAGGGGGCGCATGCCACGTCCCTGTGCCCTGCAGACTTGGGGCAGTGGCCGTGAGGGGCCCTTTGCTTCTGTTGAACCAAGTGCCCGTCAGAGCAGGCCCTTTGGGAGAAATCGGCAGTTCAATAGCGAATTGGTGTGTGTGTCAGAGGCGTGTCTCGATTTGCACAAATTATTTTTCCCCTAACTTGATCCTTCTTTAAATGAACCAAACTTACATTTTCTATAAACTTTTAAAAGTGAATGTTACAAAACGGCAGGCCGCCAGCCAAACCCAGCTTGTGTTTTGTTTGGCTTGTATGGTATTTAGAGAAACATTTGATCATTTTTACACTGAACTGATAATTTTACACTAAATTGAACTTTCTTTAAGTGGGCTAAACTTATATCCTCTATGAACTTTAAAACCGGATGTCACAAAACGGCGCCCTGCCGGCAGAACCCGGTGACCAGATGTGTTTTGTTTGGCTTCACCAGTGTTCAAGGAAACATTTGAATTAGTTTCCATCATTTAAAAATGAAGAGATTTCACATAAAAATCTGGATTTTTGGCTTCTCTTGAAATGTAGTCTGTGTTGGCAGACCAGACCCGCATTCCTGCGCGCCACCAGCAGATCGGGCCAGAGCAGCTGCCCTGCTAAGCCCGGCCGTCTTCTCCTGTTTACCCCATGCCCACCACTTACTGGTACGTTCCAGTTAAGGCCCCTGGCTGGGGCCACTCGGTTCATTTCCTGCTGGCCCCTGGACATCTGAGTTCGAAGCTCTGCTTTGCAGCAGGCATATGGAGCTCCCCACCCAGTGCTGGTGGGCAGAGGAGGAGGCCTGTCCTATGCAATGGGCTCCTGTGTCCTGAAGGAGTGCCTGTGGCCACTGGGTTTTCAGCGCTCTTATGTGAACCCCCACTGAGTACACAGCTGAAAGCATGGCTTTGGGGCCCAGTCTGGAGGGGCCTGGGTCCCAGGGCTCGGTCTGCAGGTCATGCACTGGAGGACCTTGGGAAAGTTGCTCACCCTCTCTAAACCTCTGCTCCCTCCTCAGCCGGGTGGGACAGTGGCACCCAGCACGGGAGGCCATGAGGAGCAAGTGCCACAGGGCCACTCGCCGGGCTGGCCAGGAACCAGGCCGTCCTCCCAGCAGGTGGTTGGAGAGGTGCAGGCTCATAGCTGCTGGAAGATGTGGGACTTTTGTCCAGCTCAAGGGGGAAGCAAAGGAGACTGTTTCCTGCTGGAACAGAAAGACCACTGGGTTTAAAATAAGTTCAGAATGTCAGGGGTACCCAGGGTGGGCTTGGCTTCTAGAGCCTCTGCCTGGGTTCCAGTGGCTTCTGCAGCGGCTTCTGCAGCGTGGCCGGGGCTGGTCGTCGTACCTTCCGTGAAGTGGGGAGGAGGGCGTCACCCGTCCTCTGTGGTGCCGGCAAGGAGCGGGTAAGGGCATGAGGAGCGCTGAGCCCGGGCCTGGCACCCCTCAGGCCTGGGAGCAAGGCCTCCGGTCTGTTCCACTGCCCGTGCTCTTTGCGAAATGAATGTGCGAAGGGGATTGCAGAGCTGTCGCTCATTCTGAGGGATTAGGGGTTTGGGGGGCTTTGCTTGCTTTAAGTACCTGTTCTGAAGTTTTGTCCTTAAATTTTGCTTAAATCCATCTGTTTAATGTGACTAAAGAGGACTATTAGGAAGCCTGTAAGTGCATCGGGCCGGAGAGCCACTGGGGTGCAGCACAGGAGTGGCCGGATGGGTCAGACGCATCTACACTTGGGATATTTTTTTGAAGCCAGAGCCCTGAACAACCACCCGGAACCGGAGGATCCTGCCATCTCCGTACCAAGGCCTCCCTCCAGCCTGGCCCCCGGGGATGCTGGCCACCAGCCAGGGAGGGAGCGTCCGTCTCCCTGGGCATCCGTCAGGTGCCGGGCAGTCCTGGAGCCTGGCACAGCCTGGGAGGTGCCAACTGCTGGTCTCATAGAGCTCCAACCAGTGAGCTCAGGGCCGCACTTGATGGCCAAACCGGGGGGTCAGGATTTGGAGCCCCCAGGCCAGTGTGGCCTTTCCAAGATGAAACCAGATGAAGCACAAGGCTCTAGTGCCTGAGCCTCGGAGGCAGTGGGGTAACGGGCGCATTCGGAGCCCCTCCCCGAGGGCCACCCCCCCGACACACACACAGGAGCGGGGTTCATGGATTGGCAGCTCTCCCTGTAAATGCTCCCCCACTGGCAGAGAGTTCCTTGCCCAGAAGCGCGGCCTCGGGGCTGACCTCTCTGCATCGGTGTTTCACATTCGCTCCCTCTCTGTGGCCCGAAGGACTTACCAGCGCTGACTGTGTTTGGAAAGATGGTTTGCGCTGATGGGAAGAAGGGAGGCAGACACGGACAAGGGCTTTCTTCTGACGCAGACTGCAGAGGCCGCTCAGTGGCATCGTGGGTGCTGTGCCCTAGAGCTGCTGGAGGTGCCCCGGGCCCTGAACAGACAGACTCCGGCTCCCTGGGAACAGGGGTCTGCATGTGCAGAGCGGAGAGGGCCTGAAGGCTGACCCTGTGGGGTCCTGGGCAGCTGCCCCCTCGCGGGCTCCTCTCTCTACCCCTGTAGACACACACTGGTGCCCTCTGGCTGTGGAGAACAGCTGCCCTCACCCCTGCTTCCCAGGGGGAACCCACTTTGCTCTTTCCCATCTTTCACCACCAGCTTCTGGCTTCTGGAAGGGGTATTCTGAACTTGGCATTTCCACTAACACCTGCTTCTCACTCCCAGAACAGAAAGGTGGGCTTCTCAAGTTTTGGTGCCCATGAGCCTGGTGGTGGCACTCAGCACACACCACCTGAGACCCTGTCCAGAAACCCACCCTCACCCAACCCCTTGCTTTCACCCTCATGGGTGCAGCAGCCCAGCCACCAAGGACTGAGTCCTAGTGGTCCGCATTCTCATCTGGCCAGTGTGGACTTGGGGGACTGGGGGGCACCTTCCAAGCCTCAGTTTCCCCCTGTGCACAGTGCGAATGATGACAGAACCCGTCTCAAAGGCTTTTGGGGAAGATGGAACCTCATGATGTATGTGGTGTGCTTGGAAGTGACGTTGAATAGCATCTTCACGGGCTTCTCCCTCCAGCTGGGGGTGTGTTCACCCGGCTGGCTCCACGAGGTAGTAGTCAGTGTCCTCCACACACAAGCATAGACCCAGTGGTTAAACGACCTCGCAAGCACCAGGTGCAC